CACGGCTGCGGCGACTGCTGCTAGGACGGCGGCTGCTGCTGGGGCGGCGGCTGCGGCTGGGGCTGCTCCTGCTGCGGTTGGGGCTGCTGCTCCTGCCCACCAGTGGTAGTCCCCGCAGGCGGACTACCGTCACCACCACCACCACCTGCGCCACCACCCCTACCTCCCTGGCGACCACGGCCACCGCGGCACGAGCGATGCTACGGGTGGACCGCAGCAGCCGTCTCGGTGAGAGGGGTCGCCGTGGCGACCGCAGCCGAAACATCAGTGAACGTGCACTGGGAGGGGGCACAGCCGTGAAAGATAGAGACTGCCGGCGTACCGCTCGACTGAGCGATAGTGCGCTGACGATTCTCGATCTCGGTGAGCTGGGCAGCAGTGCTGGCAGTGCGATAGCGGGTCTCTAGGGCACGCAGGTGAGTGGCAAAGTCTGCGACGGTAGGGAAGGCTGCAAGGTCTGGGAATAGCATCGGGAAGAGCAAGCGGCCAGCAGAAGCAGACGCGGGTGTGGAATAGTGAGCAATAACGGCGTCTAAGTAAGCTCTGGCCGTCTCAACAGTAGCAAAACGCGAGCGCTCAGACACAGGGAGGGCGTGGCTAATAGCAACATGAGCTTCTGCATCGCGGGAGTCCCAGATCGCACAGGCAAGCGCAGCAGTAGAGAAGGCCTCACGGTCATCAGAGGAGGGATCAGCAGGGAGGGGAGCAGGGGCAGGGGGGCGGGGGAGCAAGCCATCGACATGGACAACCAAAGAGTGGCCATCCTGGCGCTGACCTGTAAGGTGGCGGCGGAGATCGGAGAGCCAGGCGGCGAAGTCAACCGCATGGCCCTCGGCGTCTAGTCGGAGCACGAAGTCAGCCATCGTGCAGGGTCAGCGGCACAGCTCCACAGGAACACAGCGACGCAGGGACACGGCGGCAGCACTCTCCAACACGGCGGCCGCGAGGCGCCCCAGCACTGGCAAGCAGAGTAGACGGAGCCCGAGGTGGCACGGCAGGACGAGCAGGCACGAAGATGGGCCGGGCGGGCAGTGGGAGAGGCCAGGCAAACGCGGCGCAGCCAGGCAGGCGCGGAGGGGCCAGGCAGGCGCGGCGGGGCCAGGCAGGCACGGCGGGGCCAGGCAGGTGCGGCGGGGCCAGGCAGGCACGGCGGGGCCAACCAGGCGCGGAGGGGCCAGGCAGGTGCGGCGGGGCCAGGCAGGCACGGTGGGGCCAGGCAGGCGCGGCGGGGCCAGGCAGGCGCGGCGGGGCCAGGCAGGCGCGGCGGGGACAGGCAGGCGCGGCGGGGCCAAGCAAGCGCGGCAGGGCCAGGCAGGCGCGGCGGGGCCAGGCAGGCGCGGCGGGGCCAGGCAGGCGCGGCAGGGCCAGGCAGGCGCAGAGGGGCCAGGCAGGCGCGATGGGGCCAGGCAGGCGCGGCAGGGCCAGGCAGGCGCGGCAGGACCAGGGAGGCGCGGGGGGGCCAGGCAGGCGCGGCGGGGCCAGGCATGTGCGGCGGGGCCAGGCAGGCGCGGCAGGGCCAGGCAGGCGCGAAGGGGCCAGGCAGGCGCGACGGGGCCAGGCAGGGCGCGACGGGGCCAGGCGGGCGCGACGGGGCCAGGCAGGGCGCGACGGGGCCTAGCGGGCGCGACGGGGCCAGGCAGGGCGCGACGGGGCCCAGGAGGGGCGCGACAGGGCTAGGAGGCGCGACGGGGCCCAGGAGGGGCGCTAGGAGACGCGACGGGGCCCAGGAGGGGCGCGACGGGGCTAGGAGGCGCGACGGGGCCCAGGAGGGGCGCGACGGGGCCAAGAGGCGCGACGGGGCCCATGAGGGGCGCGACGGGGCCAGTAGGCGCGACGGGGCCCAGGAGGGGCGCGACGGGGCCAGGAGGCGCGACGGGGCCCAGGAGGGGCGCGACGGGGCTAGGAGGCGCGACGGGTCTAGGATGCGCGATGGGGCCCCAAGGGGGGGGGGGGGGGCGGCGGGGCCTAGCTAGGGTACGGGCGGAAGCGGTAGGTGGGGGATTCTAACCTACGCGTGATACCATGTTAAAGTAAGAACTGAATGAATGACTAGAAGTGGAAACCTAGAACAAATACTAGTTGGTTGTTCTCACTAGAAGCATACCTCGGTCTAGCCTATAGCTTCTACATAGCTAATATGTATAAGTTGACACTATCAGGGTGCCTCTAAACGGATTTGAGGCCCTGGAAGGGTCTATGCTCAACCTAATAAAATTGATGTCCTCATGTTAATTGATACTAGCCTAACTCTCAAATACAACACCCTCGTGTACAAATTCCATCCCACCGCACACGCCCATGTTCCTCCACCGTCTCCCGCCCCATGCAACTCCCCCGGGGGGATTGCTGTCCTCATCTTCAATAAGCTCGCCGGCATCTCCAGCCACTCCCACACACTAGACGGCAGACTCCTCTCTGTACACATCGACCATCTGCAAGAAAAAATCCGACTCCTTGCTATCTATGCCCCCCCGACCACAACGGATAGACATAACTGGTGGCATACCATCCTTGACCCTGCGTTAGCCGCGCCCTCCGCATGCACAGGCACACTTCTCGCCGGCGATTTCAACGCAATCGATCTGGCAATAGACAGAAACCGACCCCTCCAAGGCCATGAAAAGACACCGAGCTCAGCATACTCCAATCGCTCATGCACTCCCACGACCTCCTCGACGCCTTTCGAGCACACCACCCCGATAACAACCTCTTTTCATATTTCAAGCAGCCCAGTCGCACACTTCCCAATGTGCCAGTCCCGGCACCCCGTATTGATCGTATCTATGTCACCTCCCCACTACTTGCCCAAGTACACATTGCTGCATATGTGCGCACCCCTGCTGCCATATCCGACCACGCTCTCGGTCCTTCCTGTGAGCTCGGTTTCCTCAATCGCACCATGGCCCCAAGACTCCGGCGTCTCAGCACATCCCTCCTCAAGCGCCCTTTCATCGCCCAGATCGCCCTGGCTGCATGCCGAACCCTCCCCACCTCCCCCTCCCCCGCGGAATGGGATACCTGGAAACTCTAACTCAGCAACCAACTCAAGCAATTCGCAAGCCAGGAACGGTGTCGCATAACAAAAACCACATCCTTACTACAAAACCGCATCTGCCACCTCCAACTCCTCCAAGCCTCCCCACACACCAACCCCCGGCAAGCCGCCCTACTCGCAAAGCTCACCCAATATTTTGAAGTGTACGAGGCATCTTGTGCAGCAGAACAAGCACTTAAAGCAAAAATCACAGTGGAAGGTCACCGCGAGATGGGAATCTCGTCCCTCCTTGCTGGTGTCAATACCCGGCGTAAAACTGCGCACATACCCGCACTTTGGCTCGCTTCTGGTGCCACGACCTCCAATCTTGCCGACATGGCCGGCCTCTGCACCGCATTCTTCCAAACCTTTTACAGTGGAGCCACCGCTATCAATCGTGACAACTCTTTCTGCCAGCACATCCCCACGTCGCAACTAAGCCATCACAACGCCACCCGACTTGCTGCCCCATTCTCCTTGCTCAAAGTCGATAGCGGTATCGCCGCGCTCGCAGGTGGCAAGACCCCAGGGCGAGAGGGTATCCCGGCCAATTTCTACAAACGTTTCCAATCAACCTTCTCCCCCGCCTTCCACAAGTTCTTCTCAGCAACACGCTGCCGCTGCTGCTGAGAAGAGCTGTCCATGCTATGTGGGCGCACCGTCCTCATCCCCAAGAAAGGTGACACAACATTAGTCGACAACCTTCGACCCATCACCCTTATGAATGCCGACTACAAAATTCTAGCCATTTGTCTTACCACTAGGCTCCAAACTATCCTCCCTACAATCATCCACCCCTCCCAAACCGCCTTTATCAAAGGACGCAAGATTGGCGATACTATAAACGACACGCTTGACATCATGGACTGGGCCACAGCCCGGCACCTCCCACTTCTCGCCCTCACCGTAGACATTCGAAAGGCCTATGACATGCTTGATCGACCCTTTCTACTAGCATGTCTTGCCCAGTTAGGACACCCACTTCCCTTCATAAATTTGGTTAGAATAATGCACTCCAACACCACCACCCGCATCTCGGTCAACAATTTTGCCGGCCCCACATTCGGAGGCACACAGGAGTGCGGCAATGCTGCCCGCTGGCCCCTCTCCTTTTCATCTATGCCATCGAAGTATTCCACCAGCATATATCTCTCCACATCCCGGGCTTTGCCATCTCCCGCCAGGAACGCAGGCTCATGGCTTGCTACACAGATGACGCAACAATCTTTATGAACTCTAACCACGAACTCTAGACCGCCTCCACCACGTTGCTCGCTTATGCGGCGATGTCTGAAGAATACCCCAACTGGGCCAAATGCTCTTTTATCCCTTTCAACTTCCCTACTGCTCACATAACAGGGGCATGGTCGGGGGCAGGGACAGGAGGGACGGCTGCCTCAACAGCCGGGAGGGGGCCTTGAGCAGGGGCAGGTGCCATACGGGATGCAGGGACAAGGGCAGCCGCAGCAGGAGCAGGTACCAGGGCAGCAGCAGCGGCAGCAGGGACCATGGCAGTAGCAGCAGCAACAGGGACCAGGGCAGCAGCAGCAGCAGCAACAGGGACCTGGGCAGCAGCAGCAGCAGCAACAGGGACCAGGGCAGCAGCAGCTGCAGGGACCAGGGCAGCAGCAGCAGCAGCAGCAGCAGGAACCAGGGCAGCAGAATCGAGGGCAGCAGGGACATGGGGGACCAGGGTAGCAGAATCCAGGGCAGAAGGGACATGGGGGACCAGGGCAGCAGAATCCAGGGCAGCAGGGACATGGGGGACCAGGGCAGCAGCGGGGCCGGCAACCAGGGCAGCGGCGGCAGCAGCAGCACAAGCAGCAGGGGAGGCAGGGGGGAGAGCAGGCACAGCACCAGCAGCAGCGGGGGCAGAGCATGGGGGAGCAGGAGCAGCAACATGATCAAGAGCCACTGACTCATCCGACCCAACAACCTGTTGGTGACTCCAGAAATGCAGATGCGGGTTGGAACCCATGTGTCCCTATAACTACCGAGGATGTGGTTCGACATCGTCTGCGCAGACTGTCTCGTATCAATCTGCAACGTCAAATCCCAGATTTGGAGGAGGCTGATGGAGAAAGGTCGCTGAATGGGCCAACTCCTAGAAATCCACTGCAGGGGACACATCAGCAAGGGCAACAGCAACAGCTGCAGGGGCAGCCAGGGCAGCGCCAAGGTCAAGCGCGGCAGCGGCAAAGACTGCCGCAGGGGCAGCTTCAAGGCCAGGGGCAGCAGCAGGGCCAAGGGCAGCAGCAGGGGCAGCTTCAAGGCCAGGGGCAGCAGCAGGGGCAGCTTCAGGGCCAGGGGCATGGACAGCAGCAGGGGCAACAGCAATGGCAGCACCACGAACATCAACAGGGACTACAGTGGCGGTGGCCGCAGTGGCAGCAGCAGCAGGGAAGCACACAGCAATCCCTGGTTGGAGGGGTGGATCAGGTATATCGCGGGGTGGTTCCCCATGAGCAGGGGATGTTGTGGCAGTATCCCTGGCAGATGCCAGCACATCTTGGCTTGATGTATCAGCCCACGGGCGACCAAAGTCCATATGTCACCAGTCAGCAACATGTGGGTCTGGGTGGTGGGGTTTCTTCAGGGATAGCTGCAACGAATAGCATCCCCACATCCAACTTGTCATCTCAGCAACCCCAACAGCAGGGGCAGCAGCACAATTAACTTTCCCTCGTTGCAATAGCAGCAGCACGGCAGTGTGTAAGGGCATCAGCACTCACCTCTGGCACAGGGGGATGGAGAAGAGCAACAGGCCCCGAAGGAATGGAGCGGGTTGTACCCAGGGAAGGCAGGAACCTAAACGGGCAGTGGAGGTGGGGGAGAAGGGGGGGAGAGGGAGATTGGGATGATGAATGACAAGAATTGACATGGTGGGGGGCTTGTATCATATGAAATTTCCTATGATGGAGACATTCGTTAGTAAGAAAACGCTGTGTAAACAAAAGGCGAACCAAGAACAAAGAGTATCACTATGAAACTGCAATTGGCTGGAAGATTTTGAACGCTTGTCCCCCCTCCTGCTACTTCACCAGGAGAAGCTGAAAGGATGGTCCATGCCACTCCATACGACTGAATGCCATGTAGAATCAAGCCATGCCATGCCATTACACACCATGCCACTGCAAACATGCCGTTTGGAATCCCATGTAGAATGCATATCATGCTAGACATACATACAGGACATGAGATGCATGCCAGTGCCATCCACGTGTGCAATCCCATCATGTCAGCAATGCGCAAGTTATCAAGCATGGCGTCATGAGCCACGATTACCCTGGTGCTGCTCCCTGCAGGTACTGCTGTTCCTTGCTGCTGTTCCACGCTGCAAGAGCCCATCCATGCTGCTGCTGCTGATGATGATGATGATGATGATGATGATGATGATGATGATGATGATGATGATGATGATGATGATGATGATGATGATGATGATGATGATGATGATGATGATGATGATGATGATGATGATGATGATGATGATGATGATGATGATGATGATGATGATGATGCTCCCTGCTGCGGCTGCTGCTGCTGCTCGTGCTTAGTGCCCCTGGTGCTATCTATATGGCTACCTGCTGCAACTGAAACTGCTGACTCTCAATGCAGTTGCTGCCCTAATCTCTTCAGCTCTTACCGGTAATGGAGCTGCTCGTGCCATCCCTGCTGCTCATACGGCTTGATGCAGCAGCTGCACGTAATGCTGTTCCCTAGTCTGCCCCTAATGCTGGAGCGGTTGAAAACACCCATTGTATTAGTAGTTATTTTCAGATAATTCTGTGAGTACATTTATTCACGGGGAAATTCTGTCATGGAGGCGACGCCACTAACGTGTAGTTTCCACGCTTGTGATTACTATAATGCAGCAGGCATTGTGCAGTGTTTTTACTGTTCCAGTGTTCTCTTTCATGTCATGTTGAACGATTACATCAGGAATACTGTGACATGGGGAGTGTGTGTCATGGAAGCGACGGAACTAATGTCTAGTTTCCATGCTTATCATACAAATAATCTGTCAGGCTTTGTCAAGTGTTTTCTACTGTTCATGTGTTCCCTTTCATGATGAGCATGTTGAGCGATTATTGTAGGAATGCCTTGATACGAATTGAGTGCTAATGCTATTATTAGTACTCTATGCTATGTGCCCCAAACATTACACTGATGCGCAAAGATCTGAAAGCTTTTCCAGTCATTTATAAAAAATCAGATACGTCTAATTATTTTCCAGTAAAAATAGGTCACAAAACTACTAAATAACCTAAACCCTTGTTATACAAAATTATAGTGTTATATGAGGTTAATAAAAATGTGTTGCGTAACATTTCAGCCTACGCGCACCTGCGAAATACTTTGTACCAGATGTTCTTCTTTACGACTTTCGCTTGGAGCGTGTACGAAACACTTGGGGGCAGTTTGGAAACGTTGAAACTAACGGTTACCAGTTAGAGAAGGTGCTGAGTACAAATTGGTACCACGTAGGGAAAATAAGGTACCACGCTGGGAAGAAGTCAATCTGATGGTTACCATGAAGCCACGTATGTGACTGCTGATGTCATCACCTCGGATGATGGTTACCTGGGAGATAAATACCCAACAAATTATCACAGGTATAGTTGGGTGGAGGAGACAGCCATGGGGCTACGATATGGGAGGGGTTGGTGGCGGACAGATCTGGGCAGCCAATGTTTGGCTGCCCAGTCAGCGAAACTGCAACGACAGCACTGCTGGAAATTGGAGAGACATGCAGGAGGGGATTTACAAAGGCAATAGTGATCGCAACACTGGAAAACAGGAACGAGAAATGACGAAGGCAACGCAAGCACAAGGAAAAGAATAAACGATGAAAACAGCAGGGCCTTCGGATACTTACCATGCACCAAGTCGACGTCGGGGAGGGGGGACCGATAAGGAAAAGGTATGGTTTGGCGTCGGCTGTGGCTGTGAGCTCGGTAGATCGCGTGCGGAGAGTTCGCGGCAGGTGGAACTGGCAATTTTTTTGACATCGTTAGGCAGTCTTCTTTTGCAGCTGGGAGTTGGGGCTGATTGGATCGGACGAGAGAACAGATGTCGTCGACAGTGGGAACAGTCACCACATAATCGAACGAAATCACAACGAAAACTACCAGTGGCAGGGCATTTGGTGGAAAGGCGAAAAAAAATCAAAACGCAGCAAAAAAAAAAAAAAAAAAAAAAAAAAACAGATACATCAAGGAAATTGAGCTACAGCGGAACAATAAGGAATAAAACGTTTCAGAACACTGTACAAACAGAAACGAACAACAACAAGAACCGATTCAAAGATCGTGACACGATTTTGAAACACTAGCGCATACTCTGATTCACAAGGAAAACCTTAAAGCACACCTAAATATAATAATCACATTTGTACATGAACGCCAGCCATGTAAATATTTCATACTGTATTACCGTAAAACCCCAGATATAAGACCGGTTTTTTTAAGTACCCACTGGGTCCCATTGGCTGGGGGGAGGGGGGGGGGGTACTTAACTGTGGTATTCGACTAATAAGACCCGCCATTTTAGCTCCGTGCTATAAGACGCTAGTTTAGACCCCCACCCCTCGTTTTTTTTTTGGTTTTATGCAGCCAAGATTATCTAATAACATGCAAAGCAGTCACATAGTCAGCTAAGGAGATCTGAATTCATCTACACAATAGTCAGCACACCTCTGCAGCTAATCTAACACTACCACTCTAGCGGGAGAACCACCAGTCGAGCATATCATCATGCTTCCCGCGAACGGCTTCTTCATCATAGCTCTCAATCTCCTCTTCTGCTGCGCTATCACTGTAGTCTTTCTCCATTGCGGAGACTCGCTGTGCCATGATCAAACGAGGTGGCACCCGAGCCTCTTCCTCAACAGCTGGCTCTGCTTCCTCTGGCACAGGAGGCTCCTCCTCCTCGTAGTCTTCAAAGGGGTCGTACGCTGCACGGGCAGCGTATGCAGCATCCTCGTTTTCCTCCTTGTCATCCCCTGCCTCCACACTGTCATCCTCCTCTGCCACGTCGCGCATAGTGTTGTTGTCACCGTCAGCCTCGACGGGGCCCATGTCGTCAGTCACGTCGACTTCCTCCGCGGCTTGCTCCTTGAGATGGGGGAGGATTAGATGATCCTCGCTGCCGTCTAGTGCATTGGAGATCCCGCACACCTTGAAGGACTTCTGGATCAATGCAACAGGGACGGCAGCCCAAGACCTGCAGACCCAGCGCAGGATCTCTTCTGGCGATGGCTTCTTCAGGTTTCCTGCCAAGTGTAACAGCGTGCGTGGAAATAAACAGGATGTGGTTAGCGAGAGCTGCAGGGTACGCACAAAGACGGCATAAGAGGTGAATGCATACCGGCCCGCGTGAAGGAGTTGATGCCGACCGTGGTGAACCAGTCTTGGTAGTCGCCTCGAATGCCAGATTTGAAGGACTTGTTGAAAGCAACATCCAGCGGCTGCAAGATCGACGTGCAGCCCCCTGGGATGACTGCAGGCCTGACCTTGAACATGTTCCGGGTCTGCTGCACTCCCTCGGTGAGGTGGCCGCGGTAGGAGTCAAGCACCAACATGCTGTGAGGCCTGGGCTTTCCTGGTGGCAGCTTGATGTGAGGCGCCAGGACCTTCACGATCTAGTCCTTGACCAAATCCTCATCCATCCACCCCTTCGACTGGGCACGAATGATAACGTCTGCCATAGAAAAAAACAGCAGGAAGTATCGGGAGACAGCGGGGTATGCTGGGCGAGGATGATGATGAGTCATGCTACAACAACAAGTCATGACACATGCAAGTTACTTAGTTTGTGGCACTTTAATGTTTGGGACACGCTTCCTGGTGAACACCACGTAGGCAGGGAGCTTGGCGCCCGTCACCGTACATGCAAGCATGACGGTGACGCGTTCTTTCTCATAGCCGGCGGTGCGCACGTGCACGGTCTTGATCCCCTTATGCTCGATCGTTTGCTTCTGTGGCATTTCGAGAAACAGTGGTGTCTGGTCGGCGTTGACCATCAGGTGCGTCGGGATGGCCTTGTTGAAGATGTGCTTCCTGCAGAATCACCAGAAGCTCTTCGCCTTCGGCTTCTGGTCTGCAGGTGAGGATGCAACAGAACACAGGGGGAAGGTTAAGCTATTGGCAAGCAAGCACTACATATATTCACGCATTCGACACTCGCAATATGAACAGAAGGTCGGGGCGTCGAATGCACGGTAAGACGCTCACCATCGGCAAGTCTCTGCCCAATCTTGGTCTTCACTCGAACGGACAGACCCCACCTGGCGTGCATCCTCTGACTCCATCGGGAAGACGCCTTCCACTCGACGGTAGGATGCGTCTTTGCCATGTAGCTGAGACTCCATCGGCGTAGCAGAGTGACAGAGACTGGAAGCCCTTGGCATCCGTGGTGCAGGAGTTTGCGATACACCCAGATCTCCATATCTGGGTACAGCGACGGCCTGCCCGCACCTTGAAGGCGCTTGCGACGTGTTGCGGCCTTCTCGAGACGCGGGCGGTTCTTGAGCCACCTGCGAATGGACACGGGCTGGACATCGGCCTTCTTGGCCGTAGCACGAATCGAGAGATGATTATTGTCCATATTCTCCAGCCAAGCGAGCTTCTCTTTCACAGTCCACGCTCGACGAAGACCCTTGTTAGCGCGACTACGGGGAGAGGGTGGCGACGCGTCATGGTTGGGTTCCCAATCTTCACGAGAACGTTGACCTGTCGGGAACTCGGGAAGAGGGCGATCGAAGTCGGCATCGGCGTCGGTGGATTCTGATTCCGCATCAGCAGTGCCAGCTTCGCCAGCGCAATCAGTCTCGCCGTCTTCCTCAAAGACCCCGTCGAAGTTTGGCTCGGGGTCGGGGAAATTCACGTCGCGGAATCGAAGCGCAAGAGGCAGGATCACCTGGGTAGGTGGGGCAGGAGGAGCAGGTGGCGCTGGCAGCGCGGGAGGCACGGGAGGGGGGGGTGGCGAAAGGGGGCGCGGGTGACAGAGACACCCACTTGTCGAGAGTTGTTGACCTCACGTGTTTCCCTTCCCTCAGCAGCAGCACCAGCGTCGGGGCCGTCGAGGCCCCAAGGGAGGGCGTGGTGGTGGTGGTGGTGGCGGCGACAGGGGTTCTAACGAGGGTGCTGGGACTGGTGTCCTGGAGCAACAGCAGCTGCCACACTCACAACAGCCGCTGCAACAGCCTTAGCAGAAGCAGATGCAGCAGCAGCAGCAGCCGTGGGCCCACCTCCCGCCAGGGTGGCCGGGCGCCCCTGGAGGTGGTGGCCGCGGAGGCGGTCCTCGCAGCTCGGCATCTACCGGCAGTTCCGGTGCAGTCGGCTGTCAGTACCAGCTCCAGACCGGGCCCCTCCGTGGCACTTTGTATCGCCGCCCGCACCCGACTGCCCGCTGCTTCCACCGCCTCGACGACCTCTTTCGTTGCCGCTTCGGCCCAACTCCGGACCTCCCTGACTGGCCCAGCTTGCTGCGCCACGGTGTCCCTGTTTTTGACTTAGATATGGATCAGATTAGTTCTGCCTTGCATTCTCTGTATGCTGACGCTTCTAGCATGTCCGGATCTTATTACCCCGTGTTCTCTAGCTTAGGCGTAGCACCTGTGTGTAGTACACACTCCCCTGTTGTGTCAGGCGTAGGACCGTTTGCTTTGTCTGGAATAGGTTCCCCACTTGCTCAGCTGTCGTCTGCTGCTACTGCTTTGCTGTCCTTCACACTAGACTCCGGTGCGTCTGCCTGCTTCTTTCGAGACCACGCCGCACTCACGCCACTTGCCGCGCCTGCCGCTGTCGCACTTGCTGACCCCTCGTCTTGTCCTGTTGTTGCTCGCAACTACACTACCCTCCCCTGTCCAGCGGTCCCCTCGGGGCTCCCTTACAGTCCTACACATCCCCTCGTTCTCCCAAAAATTAGTTGGTGTCGGCTGTCTTCAGGACCTCGGCCTCAGGTTCCCCTCCTGCGATGTTCCCCCGGGACCCAGTGTCTAACCTCTTTATGCTGGACACTGCTTCCCCCCCGGTTGGACCATCCCTCCTGGGTCCTACGTCTACCCAGATCGCCGCCGCGTGCTTGTGTCGGTCGCTCACTCACTCGTCACTTCTGTGGCACCACCGCCTACAGCACCCCGCACTCCCGCGGCTGCGTCACATGTCCCAGCACGGTCTCGTCCTAGGTCTCCCTGAGTCGCTTCCTGCCCTCCCTCCCTCCCCTGCGCCGCCGTGCACGCCCTGCATCGAGGGCCGGCTGCGTCGTGCTCCTCCTCCTCGGCTTCGTCCTGCCACCGCACCCCTTCAGACCCTGCACCTGGACGTCTGGGGCCCCGCCCCCGTCCCCGGGCCGCGTCGCAAGCTCTACTTTCTAGTGCTCGTGGATGACTACACCGCTACACCACGGTGTTTCCCCTGGAGCGGAAGGACGACGTGCCTGACGTTCTCATCCCGTGGGTCGTGGCTGCCCGCCTCCACCGCGGTCTCCTTGTGTTGTGTCTCCACTCCGACCGTGTCGGTGAGTTCGCCTCTGGTTGGCTTGGACAGTTCTGTCGTGCGGAGGGCATCACCCAGTCGTACTCCCTATCGGACTCCCTGCAGCAGTTGGCAGTCGCTGAGCGATGCATTGGCTTGGTCATGGAGGTGGCGCACACCTCCATGATTCATGCTAGTGCACCCCATTTTCTGTGGCCGTTCGCTGTTCGCTACGCCGCTCACCTGCTTAACCTCTGGCCGCGCTCTCAGCGGCCGCAGGTTTCGCCGACCCTTCTCTGGACCGGGTTCCCTGTTGACGCGTCCGTGTTCCATGTTTAGGGCTGATTCGCTCACGTCTGTGCCTCTGGCACGGACAAGCTCACTACCCGCACTGTCCCCTGTGTCTTTCTAGGTTTCCCCCTAGTCTCGTCTGACTAACATTTTTACCACCCCCCATCTCACCGCTTCCTTCACTCCCGTGACGTCACCTTCGACGAGTCTGTCTCCTTTTACCACCGCTTTCCCCACCGAGGTCTCCCGGTTTCCCCTCCCTTGTTTCTTGTCCCCACTCCCCCGGTAGCCCTTGCTCACCTTCCTCCCCGTCCGGCTCCGTCTGGTGTGTCTCACGTCACTCCCCTCCCGTCGGTTGTCCCGGTCGAGGAGTCGGCTGACTCTGGTGGCCCTGCCGCACAGTTCTTGCCACCCAACTCTCCCCCAATTTCTTCTCCTCCGCAGTTGCTGCCGCCACAACAGCTGCCACCGCCGCCACCGCCGCCGTCGCCGTCGCAGCAGCAGCAGCCATTTGTGGCCTCTGGGGGTGCTGGCATTGAGGAGGGTGCTAGTCCTGGGGTTCCTCTCGTGGCTTGTCCCGGCGAGCTCGGGGGTGGCACCAGTGCTGGAGAGGGTTCACGCTCTGGGGGTGCTCGTTCTGGGGGTGCTGGAGTGGAGTGTTTCGGAGGTAGCCGCAGTGCAGCTGGCGGTCCAGCTGTCTGTTGTCACTCGCTGTCGCACCTCGCCCTTTGTCTGACTACCTGCGTGCTGCTCGTCCTCTTGTTCCTCGGGTCCTTGCCTCCCTTGTTACGGATATGTCTGTTCCTCTCTCGCGTCTTGACGCTCTTGTCGTTGCTGTAGCTAACTTCGCCTCTACGCGCTGCCTTGACTACGCCACCACTCTAGTCTTTGACCCTACCCGTCCTCTGTCCGTCTGGGGTGCTCCTGCCCTTGGCAGTGACGTCTTAGAGGACAGGCAGTACGAGCTTGCATTCCTGACCGAGGCTGCTCCCCATCTCTGCTCCATGCTACTAGTCCTTGAGGTTGACCCAGACGCCTTGGTGCGCGAGGTCCTTCAGAGGTTTGGTCTTTAGTTCTCCTCCACACAGCCCACACCTCTGCCAATAGACCACAGGCTCTCAGCTCCAGTTCCTCAGGAGTCAGCAGAGCCCAGTGATCGTTACGCAGAGCTGATGGGTTGCCTCATCTACCTGATGACTTGCACTCGTCCAGATCTCGCATACCCTCTCAGCATCCTGGCTCTCTTTGTGGCCACGGGCAGACACCGACCACAGCACTGGTCGGCCGCTAAGAGGGTTTTGCATTATCTAGCAAGTACATCGGGAATGGGGTTAGTGCTAGGAGGACGCAGGCTAGCGGTCCTTACTGGGCACACTAACGCTTCTTCGGCAGACGACGCTGAGACCCTCAGGTCTTCCCAGGGCTACTGCTTTAGCCTTGGTTTAGGGGCCATCTCGTGGAGGTCCACTCGCTCCTCGTCTGTTCCCAAGTCTAGCTGTGAGGCTGAGATCTACGCTGGTGCCATGGCGGCACAAGAGCTCCGCTAGCTGACCTTCTTGCTCGCTGACTTAGGTGAGCAGCCTAACTCTGCCCCGGTTCTGTACGCTGACAACAGGGCCATGATCCTCCTGTGTTAGGAGCCTCGACTTGAGGGCAGAGCGAAGCACATCCAGCTGCGGTACTTTCTCCTGCGCGAGCTACAGCAGCGTCGCCAGGCCCGCGTAGTACGCTTGGCCTCCAGTGCCAACACAGCTGATATCTTTACTAAGGAGCTTGCGCCTAAAGATCATCAGCGGCAGTGTTTGCAGCTTGGTCCAGTTCCTGTTGACTCTCACTTGCTAGGACCTTGATTGTGGACAGACCTTTATATATATTACCCTCACTGGCCTTGTGGCTTCTCTATTAGTGGTTGGACTAGTAGTGCCGCCTTGGTTTGCTCTTGTCTTGTTTGTACTCTTGCTGACTGGTCTTCAGACCTCTGCCTCAGAGGTTGGACTAGTAGTGCCACCCTGAGCTGCGTGTTTCTTGCTCAGCACTACCCCTTATCTAGCCTAGGGGGTGTGCCAACTTATACATATGATGTTATGTAGAAGTTATAGGCTATATAGGTGTATGTTCTTAGTGGGTACAACCCCAACACTATATCTCTCTTGTTTCTCCCTTGTTTCAATCATCTTAGTATTCTAACACTCGGGAGGACGCTGATTGGCCCTTAGATAAAATCAGGGCAGAATGCTTTCTCGGGGCTTTGTGAGGGCGGTTACTGGCCCTTGACCAAAATCAGAGGCCGATGTGTATTGGGGGCTGTGTGAGGGAGTTGGCTGGCCCTTCACCAAAATCACCTCCCAGTTTGTGATGCGTGCAGTGTGAGGGGCCGGTTGGCCCTTGGAAAGTTTTGCCAAGGTGTACTGCGGGCTGTGTGTGCGAGGTCGCCCATTGGCACTTCACGAAATAGCCACCTGGATGGCCCCGATTTCCCTACCTCCCCTGCAATTTTGATTTGCCCGCCCCCCAATTCCTTTCCGCCCCATCCCTCGATTTCGTCCCCCATTCGCAATTTGCCACGATCCCGTATCTCCACCAACCTATATTGTCGTCGTATCTCAGGCACGCGAAATTACTAAACGCGGAACGCGGAGGGGGAGGGATAAGAAACTCTTGAAAGACTCATCTAAATTTTTAAAATTCGTATTTCAGTTGGTCTGGGAGATTAGAAAAGTAAAAATCTTATGTCAGGCCTGGCGAGAGCGCTGTACAGTAGAGCACAGCCTCGCCATGAGCCTCGCTGATCAATTACACTTGCGCTGGTGGGGGGCCGGGCCTAGGGTGTCGTGAAATTCTGTGCTGTCGCCAGAACACAGATAGCTAGTGCACGCAAGAGTAGAAAGCCCCTCAAGGGAGAAGTCTGAGGGCAGCGGTTGGGAAGGGAATGGAAAATTAACGTGCGAAACACTAACTTTGAAATCAGAGTTAAAAACAATGGTAACTCTGATTAATCAGACAAATATATTATCGCTACTCTGATTTTTCAGACTCTTTTTAAGGGGTGACTCTGAAGGCCATACCAAGAGATGGCAGGCAAGTCTGATGAATCAGACAAGCCCAAAACCAATTTGGGGGCCTGGTTATAATCTATCAGTAGCCATTGAGTTGGGTTGTGGGGGGAAAGGGGGGAAGAGGAGGTGTAACTAGAGACGAGGAAGCTGGTACACAGAATGGTCGCATGGGGCATGCATGGTCGTGTCTCGTCTCGTTTGTGGGGTATTCACATATGGTGTTGGGGTGCATGCAATTGCTTAGATGCTGTATGTGGGGTCTGGAATTTGGACTGGAGATGCAAGTGTTAGCGTTCATATATAGGTATGTTAGTAGGGGCCGGCAGGGCGCGGTAGGCTAGGGTACGACAGGGCGGTAGGCTAGGCGAGGGGCGGAAGCGGTTGGGCGGACCTAACCTACTATGATACCATGTTAGAATACGAGAATGAATAGAAGCAAGGGTGAACAAGGGACATATAGGGTTGGAGTTGTACCCTCTAAGAACATACACTTATCTAGCCTATAACTTCTACATACTAACATATGTATAAATTGACAGAGTCGTGAGTCGATGCGGCCTCGTGCCATGCCGAGTCGATGCTCTGGATTTTTTTGCGATTTTACCACGTCCTTAGGGTTGATGCCATCTCAAATGGCATGTCTGGCCCCTATGGGTTTTATTTATTTGCAATTATAGTTTTGCATTTTCTGTCGAATTGCAACGCAACAAAATTTGCTTTGGAGTTTCTTGACGCGAAGGCACAACTCTACACGCCGGTTCGAAACAGTTGACTGCGCATGGGCAAGAATCACGCCTCTCATTGGCGCAAAATATTCCTATAAATTCATGCTAGATTTGTTTTGATTTGGGTAAGGAGTAGTCGTTTCCTCGAACCTGACGAGGAGCATGTAAACTACAGCTCCCTGAAAATTTCGAGTTTTGAAAGAGGAAGGGGAACGGTGACAATACCCGTGTATATATGTTATTTGATTCGAAACCTTCATACAAAGCAGAGTGTAATTGGAGATGAGATTCCGAAGTGCGGGGCGCGATGCACGATTGAATTTAACCCATGCGTTTTTACTCCAAATTTCGGCACTGGCTAGGATTCGAGAGATTTTCTTGTAACTGTTTCTTTGCCTAAATGGTGCAGGTCTTGTACTTCCGAGGCGCGCTGGAGAAGGTGTGACGGGCGTGACTGGCCCTTTGCCAAAATGA